ATGGTAGGAATCTGCACGACCCACCTCGTCCAGGCTCTACCTGAGAAGGGCGCCCTCCCTCATTGGTAGGAATCACCGCGTTTTATTAACATCAATAGCGACTCCTCGAACATCGCGCGATCCGCTTCAGAGTTGGTTTACACAAGGTTGACTCTCTTTAGGGTCACGATATGGATGTGCTAATCATCCTCACCACTGGGACACGCATCGATCCGTTCCTCTGGAGACTTCCTTGGCGATCCTCAAGACGACGTGGCGCTCACTCGATTTTGCCACGGCTTCTTAATTTCAGGACGTGTAGGCGCTCTCCGCAATCTTCCAAACTGGAATCGTCTCCTTCGTTAGGCCGCCACCCGCGAAGGCCTTTCGTCACTGCCGAATTATTCTTTCAACTGTTTTTGTCAATGCTTACGGTGAGTAGCTCCTACTTCCTCCTTTTACACCTTTCACTTCCTTTCCCATTTTCCATCCTTCTGTCCCTTTAGCAACGTTTTTGTGAAAGGGGGAGGTGTAAGAGTCTGGGACGTGGAAGAATCGATGTCGAGTTTAGCCCCACGCTTGCTGATTACAGGGGGCGGAGCCATACAAAAGGCCAGGAGACGTACGGCGGGAGAGAGCCGGAGTGACGACCGCTCCTTCTGGACACACTTCGGACACACTCGACTCTGCGAACCTCGAGCCTAGTGAGCTTCCCGTCGCCAAGCCCGTCGTCCGTATTATATCCTCTTATTCATATACCAATAAACTCTTAATTTTCACCTGTATTTACTCACCGCCCGAGGCGGAGGTGGTGTAGTGACAAGTGGCGCGCTTACCACTCGCGCGGCGCCGGGTTCGAATCCCGGGTCGACACCCGCCCAGGCCAACCAAGCCTTCTACCCTCCGGGGACGGTAAATTGGTACCAGATTCGTCTGGAGGATAAAACACTGACTTGTACATCGGCTGGCCACCGCAAGTCATTGTATAGGCCACATCGCATTCAATAAGCCACTACGATTCTTAATGGAAGTAGAATGCGTGCCGCATCCTATAAGGGATTGATCAACGGCGAAGACTTTATCCTCATCCTTACTCACCGCCCACGCCATCCCCAAGGTGCAGCACTTGTGCGGATATCTAGGTCCCGCAACGAAACACTTGATTAGCGGTAGAGAACAGCTCGAAGTGGCAGGAGGTAGACAAGCAGGGTGCTCGGCTACGGTTAAGCGTGTGGCTGGCCGCGCAGCAGTGCGAGGCAGAGTATGGAGTCAATACCGGTGTATCACTCCTCTTCAACCTCGTTCTCGTGCAGTTCTGAGTGGAAAAAAGGCATGCTACTGCAGCTAGGGATCCATTCACCTCCCACATAGCAAGGTCCACGGGGTGACAGTGCAGTTTGTCTTTAATGCGGTTATGCTGCTACTGTCACTTCCACGATCGCAGGGAGATTCCTCTCCTTCCATTCCCTTTACAAGTCTCCGCGGCTCCAAACAAGTCGCAAAGGGTAGATTCAATCAGACATAGTTTGGGGAAATGCCGTGCTAGTATCGGTCACCCTTTCGTTCAGGTGAGCGGATTCATTGCAGCTTTCTCAAAGATATCAGTGAATTGCAGTGAAACCATAAAGAAGTGTTTTGAATGGCATTAGAGCAAAAGAACCGCATCTTATTATTGAAGTCTATGATTACTAAGCAGAGCTCCCTAAACCATCTGGGTGGTTTCGTAGAAGTGCGGATTTTGAGATCAGTCAATACTCTGATCTGTGAGCGCCATACTTCAAAACTTTGGAGGTTTTTTTTCAAACTCCGAAACGGAAAAAAACAAAATCTTCAAAAAAAATTCACGAGAAGCCCGCAAAGGAAACGTCGTTCTATTGACACGTCAGCGGCAATCGCGTCTGGCCGGAAAGCGTCGCGTGGGACAACGGCGTTTTTCGTATGCGTCTGCTGTGAGCCACCGGTGGCTCTCAGACCACACTTTTTGCCGCTCTGTCAAATTCACAAAACGACTGAGCAATCTTGCAGGAGGTGCTATTCCCACTATACTTAAGCGCACTAGAACTCAATCCTTGATCCTGCCCTCACGATCACGCCCTCTCTTCAAGGCGGTCAGGATTTTTCAAATTTTAACCCGTAACTTCTACCTCTGCTTCCGTTTCTTCTTTGCATTTCTGCTTTTTCACACATATAAATACTATAAAACACAGACGGCCGCTGCGATATACAAAGGCTCCGCCCATCTCCCAACAGTATTATGTAAATTTCTAATTTTTTTACAACTTTTCCCAACGTCGTCGCCTTCAAACCCACGCTTCTCATATTGAGTGTACACAGACAAACACCTACACAATGATACATTGAGCTTCGCCCACACCAGAGAACCTTTTTAGCAGAATTGGTCATTTGTTGCTTTTTCACCCCTTCAAGCCTACCAAATGGCCCCGCACCTCTCACGCTGTGTTTCCTTGTTTTGAACGTTATGCTTCTTGTTAGATGTCAAACATCCGCAGTGTGCATAATTACATCTATTTCCGTTAAAGAAGTTGCAGCGCCAAGTTGGCGCTGCTTAGCGCCTTATGGCTTCAACACTCAAAGCGAATGATATTCGTAGTAAATTTTCGGTGGCAAAAGGACTGCTAGACTAGAATGGCGCCTACTGACTCCATATGCTGCTACAAATTTGATGTATAATTTCTGACCAGAGCCCCGAGCTGTTCCTACAGTCAAGGTTTCATTCAACAATTACGATTAGGGTTTCTGGCGTAGCAGCGGCTAGTAGAAAAAAAAGAAAAATTGAAAATTTTAATTCAGTTACCTTATGAAGACAGCAATATTTTTCTCGGTAACCCCTACTGAACGTTGACCTTTCACACATAATAAGAAGACGAGAGAAGATTGCAAAAAACAGTGGCAGTAGCCCGAAAAGTTGTGCAAAATGTTATGAGTCACCGGTGACTCACATTGCCCCACGCAGAGCACATTATCTTTGGAAATCCCCCAGCAGGAGGATGGGTAGTCGCATTTGGTCGCTGGGGAGGGAGGTTCGTAACTTGGTCTGAGAAAATTTTTTTCATTGTTTCTCTCTTGCTTCACTGGCGGTGTAAAAGGAGGAGGCATATTCGCCTTCTAAGAGAAATTCGCGGAGTTCGGAAATTAGTCCCGGTTGTTGACTTTTCACGGCTTTCCTGCTTCACGTGTACCACATTTGCTATACAACCTCCCCCCCGCACAGCGAAACCTTAGGGAAAAAGTAGGAGGAATCTCTGGAAATTCAAGAAAAAGTGGTAGGAAGTCGGGAGAATCTAGGAAAGTAGTAGGCAGAATGGGGAACGTAGAGGGAGAGGGGCGTATTCTCTGAAAATGTTCTCCAGCGGCAGGACGTGATTAGGGGAAAACAACAGGCCAGAACATAAAAGGTGAGGTGGGGAGGAGGTGGGAACAAACCTAGCCACTTTTAAGAATGGGGGAGGGTCGTGCGGACTCGACCAAAACCCCAACTTGTGCCGTGGTCTAGGTGGTCTTTCGATGTATGAGCCAGCGGTGGCTCATAATATCGTCAGCATGTTAAGGCGACTAAACTAATTCCACTTCAAAACCGGAAGACTTACCGTAATTATTTTCGTTGAAAATTCTACACCGATGGTCGATTTGGACTCGACATTGAACGTGTTTCTCGCGAATCTTGATAATAAATTCGATTTTCCAACACCGGAATCTCCAATTAAAATAACTGGAATGATTGGTGATTGGACAGGATGATGCTCAATTTTGTTCTGAACGAAAACCTTTTTCCAACTAACCTTTATATAAATAGTCATATCCATCCGAATCCATCACCAAAACGTTCCAGAATAAGGAGTATTCCAACGCACATTAGAATATTCAGTGTGCAATAAATGTGTTTGCGGAAAAGGCCACGTCAAATATAACAAGTGCGAGCCAACAAATCGCCTTTGCAGCGATCACGTTTTGGGTCACATGAAGCTTTGCATACGATTCTATTATGCCATCCGGTATTATGTAAAACGATTTCAGTGACAAACTCAAGTGGGGTCGTCCGACTTCCATGCATTTTATGTCTTTCTATCGCTTTTGAACCAAGCTACTCAGTTTAAGCAGTTTTTAGTGGACCTTCAGAGGTAACATTCCATTTTGAAAGAGATCGGTTTATGAAAAAGAAAACATTAAAAAAACTTTCATGGTTGGATTATTATCGGGTCATGAGGTTTACATACTATAAGCCTCGTAATCATCACCTTGTTCCCTTTCTGGTTCTGCTTACCAGTTCGCGGGATGATTTGATACGGAAGGTGAAAGAAGGGAACACGGAGAGAAGTTGTAGTCGAGGAGCCCCACATAGTGTTTACTGCGCACAGGAAAAGCAAGTGGATGAAGTCAAGCGTTGAATGCCTGATCACAGAGACGATATCGTTGCCGAGCTTGCTGTTATCCGTGCTACAACTGCTGGCCAAGTATTACCTCAAAATTGAGGATGATCGATATAGCGTGTATCGGAGCCTTATTTTCGTACAGAAGCACAAACACAGAGCAGATTCGGTGCCTGCAGCAGCAGTGTTCTCCGTTGGACGTCATCCATGACTGTGAAAATGAACCATGCCCATAGGCGAAATATGGATGGTACTGTACTAAGAGCCGAAACTTAAAAAGCGGGCTTTGGGTGTAGATGGGAAGTCGCCCCAATCCTTTCATGAGGAGTTAGCATTGCCAGGCGTCGTAAGGGACAACGGCATTCCTGCACTGTGGCTTTCACTGTGGCTCTTTCGAATGATTAAGACCGTCGCCGTGGGGGTATACTGCCCGTTCCTCGACGACGAGATCGACAAGGGATGCTACCTTATGACCACAAGAAGGCCATCATTGTCCATTACAATGCCAAGGCCTCAAGTAACAGTATCACTAAGCACTGTTTCGACAGAGAAAAAACTGAAGCCACTGGATTCAGCCGCCCCATTCGCCCAAGCTGCAGCAGAGCGATTTCAACTGTTTTGGTCAAACCGAAGGCCGTGCTTACCTCAACGGTAAACGCTTCGACAACTTGCCGTATCCGAAACTGACATCTTGATGTACATTGATGGCAAGGATGTCTTCTCAACATAACACCAAGACCAAGGCAGGAGAAGTTGCTGTCAAAGTATGAATGCAGTATTTCTAGTGGGGAATCATTTGGCCGTACTAGGAAAACTCCCAGTTCAGTGCCTATTCTAAATGCAGTTAGAGATGGCCTTATAATTATGAAACCGCAATTGACTTCCACTCCAGAAACACTTACACTCCTTATCCCTGAGACGAGGTAGGCGTGGATTTTGAGCATGGCATAGGATGGGTTACTCGTGGGATACTTCGATTTGAAACTGCCACCTTGTTCAGTGTTAGATGCAGGACATGATTACGACTGTTCCAAAATGACATGGGCCCGCCGTAGCTTTAAAACTGAGTACGCAGACACGCCTACCCGATCTCAGGGATTTCGAGTATACATGAGATGAATTCTAGTTCCATTGACAACCAAAGGGTTTCTTTCGTTAAGTCGAACCCCTCAGCGGGTCGTACTTGGAGGGGGGGGGTAACGGATAAGAATTTTTTAGCCGCCGTGCGGAAATTTTTTTTCAGTTGTCAAGTTCACGCACCTCCCCTAGCCATTTGGTGCAGCAAAACTACGGATACTGAAGCCTTCATTTCATCCTCACCTATATGGCCCTGCTCCAAAATTACCACATACGTTAGAGGCAAAGCCCGCAGTCACTCGATATCACAGATATTGGATCAGGAGTTTGCATGTAAATGATCAGGTTGTGAGTAATTCGATAGTGGAGAAAAAAGCAGAAAAAAAGTGCGGGCTGCCCTAAATAGAACCCAATTCCGATCGTAATTTGCAGTGCTTGATTAATTGCATCTTCAACATTACGCCCTCATCCGCACACCTGATTCCCCGATAAGAACTGTACGACCGTTCAAGTGACAATTTTCATGCTTTTTCGTCCAGCGGCTTCGTTTCTCGCTGGAAGGTAGGCCTTGTGGGCGGAGTCTCTGGAAAAAGAGGCGTCACTGAACCTATATTGCGCTATAGCGCCCCTCCCTTACAATTTTTTGATGCGAAACCGGTACAAGGTTGTTCGTCACGGACCACATTACCCTCCCGACACCATATTTTCAACTTCTATACCTGAACGCGTACCGTACCTTCAAAGCTAGAGACGTTTCGGTGAAAGGAACTCACGATGTACTTTATATACCACCCAATAGGTATGCGAAATCAAGCTCAGAGAGCAGTGACAAGACTCCAAGGAACACGTAATACACTGTCTTCGCGAGGGCAGAAAATTCTTTCCACGATTTTTTGAATATATCGTACTGATCAGCTTTCTCCCACTCCCACTCTCGGGGAAGTAGGGAGGGTTGAGGGTGACTGATCAGGACGAAATTCTTCTCTTGAACAGAGTTTCCTGCTCAGGAAGACGCTGCTGTTTCTGTTCCTGGGTGAGCATGTGTGCGCATTCAAGTCCGCTTATCGCAGCTCGGAGATGAGAACGCCTAGGAGAATTCAATGGATCTTTAAAGATTTCCTGAGCCAACTGAAAACAGTCCGTCAATATCCGAGAAAAATTCAAGTTCCTTGAAGTTCTTCTATTGGAAATTTCGTCACAGTTGAGTCGTGTATGCTATCGTTAAAAGCTCGCGGTCGTCCGAATGATAAGGACTGCATCGATTCGATGACAACTTATCATAAAACTTTTTCCAGTCCAGTGTTTCACGCCTATCTTACTGCGTAATTCGAGGCTTTTTCAGTAATAGAAGAAATTTTCGGAATACTCCTTATTCTGGAACGTTTTGGTGATGGATTCGGATGGATATGACTATTTATATAAAGGTTAGTTGGAAAAAGGTTTTCGTTCAGAACAAAATTG